TTGTGACATCAGCATGGTCCAAACCACAGGTACCACTGATACAGTCATAAGGATAACTGACCCATATAAAAGAGCTTTTTTCTTCCCCTTCACCATGGTGAATAGAGCTAAAGCTTTGTGCACATTCCAGTGCTGGCATCATAGTCCTCCATGAAATTTCACAACTACTCAGGTTATCAGCTCCAATCTATACCTGGGTCTCTTTCTACCTGCCAAAATCTTTAACTGCACAACAGTGAAAAAGCTTACTTTATGCTCCTCTCAACTCATGTCCCAACAGAGAAAATGCCATGTATTTCATCTCATGTTCACCAGGGAATAGCACAGCCTGGAAATGGGTGTGTTTCTATGCTATCCTCTATTTTCTCCATGTGCTGGCACATTACTAGCTTGCCCTTTGGTAAATCCCAACCTTAAAGATCACATTAAAAAAATAGCCTGGGGTTTGCTTTTTTCATCAGTTATGTTAGAAATTCACTGATGTTGTTGGACATTGGGTTGCTATGTGAGGCAGCATGTGGCCAGCAGTGGGGTATGACGTCCCTTCCAATACATAGCCTCAATCCAGATAGGAGGAAGGTCAGAGTGACACCTTAGAAACTAACTGGTTCAGGGAGGCATGAGTTTGTGTGTGAACAACCGACTCCATCAGATGCTTCATTTCTCTGAACCAGTTACTCTCTAAGGGTGTCTATACATGTGCTCTGGGGTGGGGGGATGGCATTTTAATTAGAGCGGCCACAGTGTCACATGTATTCAGCAGCCCACATTTCAAAATGGCCATGGGGACACTTTAACTAAAGCTCATTAAAGAAGTTTTAGTTAAAGCGTCCCGGTGACATTTTGAAATGTGGGGTGCTGAATACATGTGATGCTGCAGCACATTGGAACATCCTAATTAGAATTAACTGAGTCTGCTCCAATGTGTTCTAATTATAACACGTCAGAGCACATGTATAGGCGAGGTGTCACCCTGTCCTACCTTCTGCTTGTCTTCAGATTAATGTAGCCCAGGTGTACACGGGTTTGTACTTCCCTCTCCAATTGAGGGAATTATTGGTAAGGCTCTTCTTCCCCCCCTCCCCACTCAGGAAAGAGGCATGATGTTATTTCTCTTGCTGCCTCCTGATTGGTGGATGGGCTCCACCAATCAAAACAGCAGGATCTCAAGCCTGGGACTCAACCCAAGCTCTGAAAGGTAAGGCTGCTACATTAACATGGCAAACCACCTGTCCACCTATCTAGGTGCTAAGATGGGTGACCCCTAAAGGGACTCCCAGTTTTTGCAAAACAGGCAGTAAAGCCTTTCCCTCACTTCCTCACTAAGCTGCCTGTGTAGGCTGGACGTAGGCCTGTGCTGTATAAGCCATGACCATGTTGTTGCCAGGCTTGGTCATTTTCAAGAGGTCTAGGCTTAAGTTGCAGAAAGGTGACTAAGACAGAAGCTCTCAGAAACCTGAGTCTGAATGACCGTAGCATAAACCTTTGCAAAAATAGCAACTAGCTTGGTCAGCAAAGCAGAGGAAGCCATTTGAATATTGTCTGTTTAATTAGACATAGTTTTGATTATTGTCTGTTTAATTAGACATAAACCAAGCACAAGGCCTAAAAGGAAACACTATAAGAAAGAACTGTACATCAAATAATCCAAATACTCTATATCGTAGCTTCATCTTAAAATAATTAGTAGTGATTAATGTAAACAAATGTATTGAATGTTATGTTGCTATACTAGATACGTTTTTGTTAGAATGCTTAAATACATCATAAAAGCAAAGCAGCCTTGTCAGATCATAAACTAAGGTGAAAAAATAACAAATCAGTGAAACAACATTCCACAATGGGAAGAGAAGGGAGATAAGGAAGCCTTCCTTTTGCTTCTCTTGCTTTCACAGAGATATAAATCCCAACTGACTGATACCTTCTTGGCCCCCAAGAACTCTAGTTGAATCTGGTTCTGAAAGTTTCAGTGAAACAAAGAAATTTAAATACAACCAATCTGAGATCATTCAAACTAGTCATCTATAAATATTGGGCATAGGCTGGTTGAAAATTTGAATTTCTACTTTTGGACTTAAATTAAGACTTCTCCGGTATGACAGCTGAAAATTTTGTCTGTGTGATAAAGGTGCTTGCTGAAGGTTTTATGAAGATTAGACCAAGTGTTTTTTCTGTCTTTTGTTTAGATATTAAGCTATATGTTGTTGCTAAGAGCCTAATTAAAGTTTAAGATTTAGTAAGGCCTTGTATAAAGTAAGGCTTAGTAAATGTAGCAAAGCCTTGAAGTAGTAAAGCCCCATGGCACAGTTAAAATTAACCTTATCAAAGGAATGCAAGGCTTGTACTGTTATTGGTCAGTCTAAGGACAGTTGAAATAAAAAGAATATGAATGGCTGTAAGTTATCTGCACAGTTCAGAAGTCATAAATTGGCTGAAACATCCAGAAATCATTCAGAAGGAAGATACAGCTCTGTGAAAAGGATTAATTAGCTGTTGACCTGGATCGGTGGGCCCGTGGATCTTGAGGACCCAAGGACTGAATACCAGGGTCCTTCCCGGTACTTCTTGGACAGCACTGATCAGGGATGCCTGACTTCACTGAGCTTTGTGGAAAGAAAAACTTGTCATACATCAGGCATCAGAGGGGACTGCTGATGAGTTGCCGATGCAAATTATTCTTGTCTGTTATTCTTGTTTGTCTTGTTACTACGCGTAGTTGTGTTCTTGTTAAGTCAATAAACCTTTCTTACCTTTCTACCTCCGACCATACTCTCAATCCCAAACCCTCTGCTGGCAGCTGGGACATCCAGGGCTCAGCAAAACACCTCAACTTGCCAGGGAAACAGAGAAGCTTGGCCGGCAGACCTGTTTTTTTCCCTGAATCCAAGACTACATAACCATTGTCTTTATTGATCTAATAAGTCTCTGCTATTGTGTATCCTAATAAAACTTTTGAATTGTAACTGGAATTGTCTCACTGTATCATCAGTCTCACTCTCAACCACAGTTAAATTTAGTGTAACACCTGCTCCTGGAAATTTGCAAGTTCTGGTGCAGAATTGTCAAGGTAAGCTTCATGAGGTGCTGTTTTTTCATGTGCAAGTTCTGGAGCTGCTGATGGTCATCCCATGTCTTCATGACAATGGCTATGGATACGATGCCTGCTGGGGATGTGCACTGCTGGGGAACATCAATTTTGAGCATGTGCCACCTGTTTTCTCCTATTTAAGCATTCTAACTCATTCTCTGCCACTGTGTGACACAGGATGCTGGGCAAGATGGACCTATTGTCTGACCCAATAAATGGCAATTCTTATGTTCTTAACATTTGTGAGCAAACAGGAAAAATGACAGTCCCCTGTAGCAGTCACTGTGCTGTTTAGCTGTCACTGGGCCTGCTGTGATGCCTCAAAGGATCATTACTACCCCCACCAGCAACATCCCCTTTTGCCTGATGGAAGACGAAAATTTCAAATGATGATACATGTAAGAAGGCAGCCTCTGAAGGGCAAGACAGGATAACTAGCTCAATTCTACCCTGCAGCAACTGTTCCAAAAATAGCAATTTGTTACTTTTGAAGGTCAAGAGATAGGAACAAAGATGCAGCTTCTCTTTAGTTATGTTACATTTCCTGTTTTATGTTCTCTGTGGGGGTTTCCAGTAACCAGTAGTAAGAAGCCATGGGGCAGATGGCCATTAGCAGAAGTACTGTATCACTTCCACAGCTTGGAGGGGGCTGACTGCCAACCAGCCCCAATGGCACTGCAACCTCAGCCAAGTGGCAGACTGTTTTGAGGTATAGCATCTTGCCCTCAAAGCAGAGACAAGAGCGCGAAGGAAGGAAAAGGAGAGGAATCCCAGCCTGCATCCTGCTCTCCCTTGTGGAAAGATCTGCGGCCTCTGCAGCTGCATCTGGGGCTCAAGGACTGGACTCTTAAGTCACCACAGGACACATCAGTAAGCCACAGTAGGGATCATCCTTGAATGGAGGGACAAATATCAGCCATGGCCTACGTATCCCTACATCTCCAAGTGTTTTGCACAGGAGGAGCTACTCCCCCACTGCGGTGCACAGGGCACTGTAGGGCTTTAGGGGCAGGGCTCCAGCCCCAGCCCTAGCTGCCCTGAAGACTCAGCCCCCGCAGAGCAGTTTATACTGGGACTGAGCTCTCTGGCCTGCTACAGCACCAGGGGTGCAAGCAGGGCCGGATTCACACCTCACGCGCCCCTAGGCACGCGATCTTCAACGCCGCCAATCTACTCTGACTTCCGTCTTCTCTGAGCCGCATCAACATCTAGCGCTCACCGGTACTGCGGGTTGTCCAACAGATCGGTTTCAAGCCTGTATTGCGGTATATGGGAACCGATGCACTGTTTGCTGTTCCTACGCATAATACTATATATGATATATATTTTATTAGGATGATTATTATTTTTACCTCCATAAAAAAAACACAACACTAGAACGCGGGCGCCCCTGAGCATGGGCCTGCTTTGCCTTATGGGCAATCTGGCCCTGGGTGCCAAGCTCCTGCCCCCCCAGCAGCAGCTGGCAGAAGCAGGGTGCCTGGCACCCGCCGCCCTCCCAGCACCCATAGGTGATGTGTGTGAGGGAGGGGGCATTAGCCGGTGCCAAAGCCACCGCTGGCTCCTTGCTGTGGACCTGGCTGCGGGCGGTCCCCGCTCGGCCCACCCTCGCCACGATTGTTCCGTCTTGAAAACCAGATTCAAGGTTTCATGTTAGTTTTCACGGGTTTCGTAGGGGCTGGGCGGAGATGCTCCCGTTGTGAGGGCTGCAGTGCCCCGTCACTGCCCCCGCGGTGGCTGTGCTCTCACGTGGGAACACCCCAGCGCCCCCCTGCAGGGCGGGAAGCGGTGGCCGAGGAGGGGGCAGCAGAGGGCGCTGGGGGGGGCAGTGCCTGCGGCTTCCCGGATCGGGCCGGCGGGCGGCCGCCGGTAGCGGCGGAACCAGTGCGTGGGGCCCGGCGGAGCGGGCGGGCGACGGACCGAGGGACCGCCGGCGCCATGTTCGCGGGGCTGCAGGAGCTGGGGGTGGCCAACGGCGAGGACCTGAAGGAGACGCTGACCAACTGCACGGAGCCGCTCAAGGCCATCGAGCAGTTCCAGGTGCGGGGCCGGGCCGGGGGGGCCCCTCCCCGGGGCCGGGGCCTTCCGCCGCCGCCCGCGCCCGCCTCTCCCCGGGGCTCTGCGGGCCTGTGGCACAACACCGCTCCGCACTTCAGCTGCTATAATTATTTTAAATATATTTTTATTTAATAGCATGATGGCCCCCTCAGGATGTTTTAAAGCCTGCGCTTGAGGACTGCGAAAAGCTTTGCTCTTTCTTTTTCTGCATGTTTCCGTGCGGGGATGTGAAAAGCGGGGGCGTGCAAAGCTCCGAGGCAGGGGTGCAGGTCGCAGCCGTGTTGGTCTCAGGAGGTCGGCAGACCAGGTTTGTTGGGTGAATCTGATGTCTTTTATTAGACCGACTTAAACAGAATTTTCTTCTCAAGCTTTTGGGTTTAAAAACCCTTCGTCGGGTGGAAGAGGTCTGTGCTGTCGGCGCGGGCGCTTCCCGGGTGCCAGGAATAGTGGGGAAGCCAGAGGCCAGGCTGCAGGCGAGACAGGCAGGCAGTGAAGATGTAAATTGAGGAGTCAGAGGGTGAGAAACAGGCTGGGCAGGGGGTGGGGAGAGAAAAGGGGGGTGAACGTAGCAGGTAAATAGTGGGGCGGTACCTGGGGAGTCGGATGTCAGGCAGGTTGTAGTGTGTCATAAACCAAATGTCTGTATCTACTTGGTAGCTGTGTTGGTCTGAGACAAGACACAAAAAACTAGAACTCTTGGTTCCAGAATGATACCTTTTCTTAGACCCACTGGGAATAATAATTATTTATTAGACCAGTTGGTCTAATAAAAGGTATCATTGTGGAACCAAGAGCTCTAGTTTTGTGTCTATTCAGTCTATGATTTTTTGTATCCAGGAGGCTGATGAAGTGGAGTTCATAGGCTCGTCTCT